AGGCTGGTCTCAAAATTCTGGGCTCAAGTGATCCTTCTGCCTCGGCCTCCCAAAAAGTGCTGGGATTACAGGTGTAAGCTACCACACCTAGGTGCAGTATATTTAATGATGCTGGTTCTCTCCAAATCATTAGAAGCCAAAACATATTTCCAGATGCCCCATCGGGCATGGTAGAGTCCCAGTTGTAAAATTACAGATCTTTTAAACCTTAGGTATTTCATGAATGTTATAACCATTCAAGAAGAGAAAATTACATGAAACTCAGAAGTTAGGTGAACTCCCATCCCCCTCCTAGTCCTAGTACACCATTCTTGTCAAGGCTTCTGATATTCAAAAGCAAAACGAAACAACGTGTTTGTGTGTGTTTTAATGTTAAGAACAGCAAGCAGGTAAGTATTGCCAAAACAGGTCTTTCACACACTTCCTATATTCTTTTGCAGAGGTGACAGACTCTCCCTGAATCACCAAAGGCAGAAAAGGATGAAAGTGTTACAAGGACACGTTGATGGTGGGCTCAGATTCTGATCTGAGATTAATCTCAGATGCACTCTTTCCAAAGATAATCAAGAGTGAAGTCCACAGGTCCATACATCTGATAGGGCTGAATTTTGAGAGGGCTTCTCAAGGGCGTTGCAGAAGAGCCTTTTGTAATTCACATTATCACACTGCCCCCTGAACAATCCAAAATGGGGAAGGATCAATAGATACTTTCAGTGTCACTGATCAATATTTAGTTCATTATGGTTATCTGTGATTTTAACAAGCATATTCACTAGTGTAAGACATTTTATTGACTAGAAAACAATTTAAGAAACGTACTTGATCCACTAGCAATAAATTATGTACTTGATCCTCTAATAATTCAGTTCAGTGGGCACCACCTGAGACTTAGTTTCCTAAGTAAGGGTTATTGTGACCTGTGCTTGGATTTAGGCCTCACTCTGCCCTTCTGCCACTAGAAAATGAAAGAAAATTAGGACTGTTATTGTTAGGAAGTAACAGTGAGCAAGAATAACTGGATTTAGCATGTATCCATTCAACTTTCATTAATCCATTAAAAAAGTTATGTTTGCTACTTTCATTCTTTATATGGAGAAGCTGCTCCTGGAAAGGATTCATGGAATGAGAAATTCGTAGTTTAGTATTTGGAGTTTGCCAACTCAGGATTTACTTCCTGCTTTTCTCCTACTAGTGGTAAATTATATGACCTTTCTAATTCTCAGATTCTTTCTCTGTAAAATGGAGATTATACAGCACTATACACCCTATTAGGCTCTTGTGGGGATTAAATGGGGAAACACCTATAAAGCAATTTTGCACACCAGCCTGGCACACACTGAACTAGAATTCAACAAATGCCAACTCATTTTTGCAGCAGGACATACTTTCCTTTTTTCTACTCCAAAGTGGCACAAGGATGGTGGTGGAAGGGAGGCAGAATAGTAGAAAAAAGCCAGGGAAGTCCAGACGAGGGGCATATGAAAAGACAGAAACAGGCCGGGTATGGTGGCTCAAACATGTAATCCTAGCACTCTGGGAGGCTGAGGACGGCACATCACTTGAGGTCAGGAGTTCAACATCAGCCTGGACAACATGGTGAAAACCCATGGACACTAGAAATACAAAAATTAGCTGTGTATGGTGGTGCGCACCTGTAATCCTAGCTACTCGGGAGGCTGAGGCAGAATTGCTTGAACCTGGGAGGTGGAGGTTGCAGTGAGCTGAGATGGTGCCACTGCACTCCAGCCTGGGCCACACAGCAAGATTCCATCAGAAAAAAAGAAAAAGAAAAACAGAGAAATAGGATGTAAGAGGCTCACTAAACTTTGAGCTGATAAAGGAGTGACGTTTTTCATTATCTTCTGGGCTTTGTGTACATGTCAAAGGATTTTTATCTTTAGAAATGGACTGTATCTCCATGCCCTGTGAGGCAATAGGAGACAACTATTGGCTTGTCTTAACAAGCATGGATGAAGCGCTTCCCCTGACATAACTCCAAGTCAGTGCTTATTAAAGAGTGGTCTGCAACTCGGGGCAAGATAAGTACAGAAATTGACAGTTGTTGGTATTTAGAAACTTTGATTGCAACTTGAAAGGGTAGTTTTATGTCTGTTGAATCTAATAATAAATAGGGATGTATATTTTCTTATCTGTTTTTTCAATCATCAGTAATTTACTTTTTCTCCTCTAGTAATTTGTTTTTATTTTACTTTATAAAACTATTGGTACATAATGGATTGGAAATTTTAAAAATTGGTCTTTCACTACTGATAGTTTGAGAAGCACTACTCTAGAAAATAATCCAAACTTGCTTCTTGTACTGAAGAAAGTCAGTCATTCTTCCAGTTCTGGAAGCTCTTTAAGGACTGACATTTGTGGAAACTCTTTAGTCTGAACCTTTGTTCCTAAGAACAGGCCAAACTAATAGTTTAAAACAATTCTGGAATCTTTATTTCTCATAATATTTAAACTTTTGTAAGTACAAGAAATAATTTTGAAAAATTTTCTCAAATATAGAAAAACATATAAACATCAAGGAGGGTGAGGCAATTTTAAAAATCCACCTTTTTAAACATACATCTTTATGAGGTAGATCAATATGTATTGATACAGAGGCCCAAGACACATTAGGTGAACAAAAAACAAAAACAAGTTGTAAAATTGTAATATGCTGGATTTAAAAATAAATTACTATATGTGTAGGAAAAAAACAAATATGCAATAAATTAACTATTATAACTGAGAGTGTTAGGGTAATGGGCATGATTATGTTTTTGTTATATTTTGTGTTTCCATTTAATATTTTTACCATGAATATATGATATTTTGTAATAAAAAAAAGGAAACTTACATGTTGAATAATGTAATTTTGTCACTTTCTGGTTTTTTAATAAATAATGTTTAACTGGTTTAATACCAATGTAATTGAGAAATGCTTTTCAAAAAAGATGAAGGAATTCATGCAGCAGGCTTGCTGAGTTTCCATTTCTTTCTTCCTGTTTTTTTTTTTTTTTTTTTTTTTTTTCTGAGACAAAGTCTGGCTCTGTTGCCCAGGCTGGAGTGCAGTGGCACCATCCTGGCTTGCTGCAAAGTCTGCCTCCCAGGCTCAAGCTATCCTCCCACCTCAGCCTCCCAAGTAGCTGGGATTACAGACACACATCACCACGACTGGCTAATTTTTGTATTTTCATAGAGATGGGGTTTCACCATGTTGCCCAGGCCGGTCTTGAACTCCTGACCTCAAGTGATCCTCCTGCCTTGGCCTCCCAAAGTGCTGGGATTATAGGTGTGAGGCACCATCCCTGGCCCTGAGCTTCCATTTCTATACCTTCTTTTGCTCTTTGGGAGCCAAGTTCTATTTGTCCCTTCAAGGCATACTTGCAATTGTAACCATACCATTTCTGGAAGAGAAAGATATTATTTTATGGAAGATAGATATATGGAAATGTTAAGGTCTCCCTATATTTCATTTCCACTCCATTCTCTACATTATGGAGGATTAAAGGATGTCAGAGAACTAATTTCTTGAATTTAGAAGACCTGTTTGCCAGTCTGTGAGATTAGTATAAATTACTTGCTACAAACAAACAACATTCCCAAGATTAAAAAACCTAAAAATTCTCATCAGTCATCCTCAGTGAGACAAACTACCGTATTTCATCAACTCTAAGATAACTTTATTGTAAGAGACAGCATTATTTTTAATGTATTATTAAGAAAAAACTGCCAATTCAAGTAGAATATGCCATCGATCAAAAGATGAACTCTACTATCTCACACTTGCAAAAAAAAAAAAAAGAAAAAAAAAAGATGAACCCTATTTTCAAATGTAAATATTTAAAAATATACATTAGGCCAGGTCCGCTGGCTCATTCCTATAATCCTAGCACTTTGGGAGGCTGAGGCAAAAGGATCACCTGAGGTCAGGAGTTTGAGGCCAGCCTGACCAACATGGAGAAACCCCATCTCTACTAAAAATACAAAATTAGCTGGGCGTTATGGCACATGCCTGTAATCCCAACTACTTGGGAGGTTGAGGCAGGAGAATCACTTGAACCCAGGAGGCAGAGGCTGCAGTGACCTGAGATCATGCCATTGCACTCCAGCCTGGGCAACAAGAGCAAATAATCTCAGTCTTAAANAAAAAAAAAAAAAAAAAAAAAAAAGGCACATTCTAGAATTAATAAAATACGGTAATACTGTAATTAAAAATCTTAAATCTTGCCCAATATAATTACTTGAAATAGAGCACTGTGACCTACTTCACATGAACCCTTGACATAAATGGAAAAATACGTAAACATTTTCAGTAGCACACCTTTCGTTTATTGACCTATGTAAAAAAAATAATAGGTCTTGAAAAGTCAGAACAATAAAAGAATATGCAAAAGAGTTATTTCTGTTTCTAGAAGACTATACAAATATGCAAAAAAGGAATAAGTTATTTTTTTTGCTTGTCTTTTTTCCAAAATTTTTTGCCAAACTTCATTTCTAATTATACAAATGACTAAGGACCAGTTTAACAAATCATTTATATTTATATATATATATTACATGCTTTGGAATATAGATAGAAAATGTTCCAAAAAAGTTGTTCAGAAACTTTTCTATTCACAATATGAACAAGAAACTTGTATAAAAGAGGGGGAAGGAGCACCTTTTATGGAATTTTGAAGCAAAGATGACAAAAAAGATCAATCTGGAATATGGAAACCATTTGCTCTAAAAAACAAACAAAACTCTACAATAAACCATAGCTAACTAGTTATTCCAAGGAAAGTATGAGGTAGTTTTAGCCTCATAATTAAATCCACTGCAGCTTGGAGATTTTTTGTCATTGTTTTTTTTAATGTTAACCTTGTTTTTGTCACATGGTGACTTGGAACCACTTGAGGAATCCAGACTTGTTTAATTTTCTAATGTTCACCATTTTAAGGCACACAATTCATCCAAAATGACATGGCTTTTTTTTTGTTTGTTTTTTGTTTTTTTGCTGTTGTTTTGGATGCTTTCTGTATCATCTTAAAATACTTTTTCAAACTCATAATTATAAAAACTTTCCACATTAAGTCTGCCACTTGAAATGACAGCCAAGTTGGAGAATTACCAGCCAGAACAATAGCTCATCATGCAATTAGTGGAGAAAGGGAAAGGGAACTCAACGATATTGTACCTTAGAAAATTCTCCAAGCAGAGTTTGTCAATTATTCAGTGGGCTGCTTCATTTTCCCCAATCTGCTACCATAAGTTATATTACAGGATGCTACGGTAATAAGTTTTTCCAGAACCCTTTATGGTGCTTATGAAAAACATCGCTCTTTATCATATCCTAAAAAACATTTACACTCATTCAGAACTTCATGAAAATCCAGCTTCAAGTAATTTTCCAATACTGTCTAAATTGTCCATGTCTGTGTAGAAAGAGCACGTTATTCTTCGTCAGCTCACGAATTCAAACTAGGTGATGTGAGCAATGACTCCAGAGTTTCTGGTTCCCCTTTTCTTATCCTGCTGAATTGTGCTCTGAGATTTCCCCTGTCCTTACTGCCATGGGACATCCTGAATGTTCTTTCATGGTTTTGAGGTTTGCCTTTAACAACTTCTATTCCCTTAAAAAGTGCTTGCTGTTAATGAAGGCTTCACACTGAGTCCTCTCTTGGCAATGCTTCAATGTGCGGGCAGACTCTGCTGTTAGATTAGTGCCTAGAGTTTGAAAGTCCAAGTTGCTCTTCAGGGGCTTTGTGGGACTTACTGTGTGATTCACTGATTCACATCCAGGGCAACTAAGTCTTCTCTTCAACCTTTGATATCTTTAGGTTTCTAAAGCCAACATCCTCTGGGAAGACAAATACAATTTGCAAGGCACACTAGTGTGAGAACGCAGTGCTTGGTCAAGAGGTCCAACTGCAGTTCAGACTAATGTTCCAGGCTTTGAGTCTTCATGCCAAAAGAGTCTCTGCTCGTTACTCTCCAGGCTGTCTTCCAGCGGGTGTCCATCTGTACCGTCCAGTTGACTGATTTCTGTGTACTGTCTATTAAAAAAAAAAAAACAGGAAAGTTACTACTTGTGGCCATATTTTTCTCCCTACAGCACAAAGACTACTACATTTAAAGAAGTTAGTAGGAAGCACTGTTAAGAAAAATTTCCCAAAATGTAGAGATAAGGCAAAGGAAAAGGATGCCTGCATGCTTTTCCCATGTCATACTGGAGCATTGTTTAACAGGCCCATAAAAAGGATTATTTAATTCTCTGGAAAGATATATCTTTGTTTAACTTGTATTTAACATTGATCAGGACCCAGATTGTATTAAGTTATATGTTAACTTATAGATTTCTGTCTCAAAGAAATACAAATAACTAGTCTAGTAAAAAAGATTATGGTTACAGTTTTATTGCCCTATAGGACATTAACTGGTTTTGAATCTAATTCAGTAGTCTTTTCCAACATTTTTTCTGTGTCTTCAATTCACTTTGAAGCAGCTTTACCATTCTGCTAGTTTACTTATAATGAGTTAAACAATCTTTGACCCAGTCCATTTTTACTTGTGCAACCGTTATATTTTTAACTTTTGAAAAAGTATATGGTGACAATCACATTTTAAGTATTTTTCAAATTAAGGGAATACGCTAGATGCTTTCCTCAGGGACAAAATAATATATTTAGAAGGTAGCAGGGGCACTTAGGGATATATATGATATCCCTAGGGTTTGTGGGTCAGGCATAAATTGGAAGTGACCTAGGAAACAGCATCACATTTAAAAATCATAGGCATATTTAGATGGCAATTCCAAATGAGAACGTCCTATCATACTACAGACCATTCTGATAAGCAAAACTGCATTATTATAACCGTAGGTTAAGAGATATTAGATAGTTAGTTGATTTCTTTTTTATTTTACATTCCAAAGTCTTTTAGTAAAGGTTATTTTTTTAAAAGTCTTTGGAAGAAGAGCTTTGGAAATAAAGGATTTAGTGTTTTCATGTAACACAAAAAACAAAACCAGGTTTCATCATTTCACACATCAGTCAGTTTCAAGCAAAACTCCTGCTATGCAGGAGGCAACACACAGATTGGAAGTACTGTACTTACTACAGCTGGCTACACTTAGCAAAAGAGAATTTACAACTGATCTCATTTCTGGAGACACAACCATTCTTGGGGATAGAAGCCCTTCATTTTGCCTAGTAATAGATAGTTAGATAGAAAAAGGGAAAGGGAATAGAAAACAGGAGGTGAAAGAAAAAAAAGTTATTTGAAAATACAGTTTGCAGCAGTAGAGCCAAGAATTTGACTGTATTATATACCATGTAGCTTCAACTTTTCTACTTTGGAAAGTTTATGCCAATGACAATTACGCCAATTGCACTAGAAAAAGTTTGAATGGTAAAAATTAGTATCTTCCTATAATTTTAGGACCTAGATACTCTAGGGAAAAGCACTTTAAATAATATACTTTATTTTAAAAAACAATAAAACACTAATATATTGCTATGCATTTCAAATCTTTAGCTTAAGGGAAAAATCTAGTTTCTCGTCTTTATCTTAAAACCAATTTCTCTCTTATTTTAAAAATCATGTTTTCATAAAAACAATTTACAGGATTTCAGAGCAAATTTCTAAAGCTTTATGAATGATTGTTATTATCCTTGCCTTGTTAATAGGTTAAATTGATCGGACTGTATCATAAAAAGAATTCTAAATAAAAAACTGGATGGAAATAAGCACTTCTGTATCTCTGTGGCTGTAAGGGCAAAATGGCATATCTTTCTGGAAAGCAAGAACTTAAAAAAATATACTTTTCAATTTAATCCATTAACTCTATTTATTAGAAGGTACTCTAAGAAAATAATCTGGGACTCAGACAAGTATTTTGGACAAAGATGTTAAGAGCTGCAGTACTGGGCTGGGCACCATGGCTCACGCCTGTAATCCCAGCACTGTGAGGAGCCAAGGCAGTTGGATCACAAGGTCAGGAGTTTGAGACCAGCCTGGTCAACACGGTGAAACCCTGTCATTACTAAAAACACAAAAGTTAGCCAGACGTGGTGGTGAGTGCCTGTAATCTCAGCTACTTGGGAGGCTGAGGCAGGAGAATCATGTGAACCTGGGTGGTGGAGGTTGCAGTGAGCTGAGATTGCACTACTGCACTTCAGCCTGGGCAACATCATTTCAAGGTTCCATCTTGAGAAAAAAAAATAGCTGCAGTANAAAAAAAAAAAAAAAAGAAAGAAAAATCTAAAAACCTCTCAAAAGAACTGTTCAAAAAATGAGGCGCTGTTAAATAAAGCAGGGTATATTTAAGTGGAATATCATATTGGTCAGATAAAATCTGAAAATTTTAAAAACAAATGGGAACATGGTTATGCTATGAGGTTAAGATTTTTTAAAAAATGGAGATGTAGAATTTCATGTATAACATAAGATGTAAAACTGTATGTACAAGATCATTACAACCATACAAAATGGACAAAGGAAAATGGGGAAATTGGGAAAATATGCCAAAATGTTAAGAGCTGCTATCTCTGGACAGTGGAATTATGGCTAATTTATTTCCTACTTATTTATCTCTTTATTATAAATTTTCCACCATGAGCTCATTTATGCACACACATACACAAACACAATAGGGATCTTTAAATAGCTTCTAATTTCCTGTACATTATGGCCCCTTTGATCCCCTATCAAGCCATCTTGGGCTGTCTGAGATATATGAGCAGACTTGGTAAAAACAGATTTTCTCTAAAAATGCTTAACACTTCCTGAGTCCAGTGACAGTAGTGTTAAGGATATCAGAACTGCCTAATGCACCAAAAGTTTTAGCATCATTTCTAACTGAGTCAACAAAAAGGAAAGTAAAATTATACAAACATGAAAAGAATTCGCAAATATATTATTTAAAATTGGTTAGAACTAAACTAATAAGGCTCAGCTCAAATTTTAGGCCAGTCATTTTGGCTCTTGCTCCTAACTCATTTTCAAACATCATTTACGGAAGTCCAAACTATTTGACGTCCTCTGAAATACATTTTCATTAAAATTCTATTTTGAGTACACCCTTTGTTTAGCTGAGACAATTGGCTTAATATTTCAAGCCAAGAAAAACTCCTACTGAATGTGGAGAAAAGGCATTTGGGGCCGAATATTTCTAATTTGCTTGTAACACTGAATGTCTTGATAAGAAACTGCTAAATTCTCAAATTTACCAGCATAGAAACCTTTATAAGTTGTAGTCTGCATAAGTCTTCTGTGCCTGAAGCAATCTGACTTAAAGAAATCAAAATTACACTCTAAAAAACCAGAAATTGCCCTACTTCTTGGTACCATACATGTGGATTATCTTTTGCGAGAAAGTGTAAGGGAGAAATGACCTTTTCAAACTTAATTCCTGCATACAACAAGAATTTTTTAAAAAGTAATTCCAAGTTTGCAATGAAAAAAGAAACCAATTTTAACAAATTGCTCTTGTACATTTCCTCTAATGTGTACAAAGGACTGCTTTTACAGACAAACAGGACAGCTGGCTGTGTCTGTTGCTTCGTAACAAACACAGGATCAGACACGAAAAGGCAGCAAATGTTTGAAATCCAGCCTACCAACTGTCTGAGGAACCTTGGTATGAACAGCCTTTCCTGGAATAGAGATATTTTTCCTGCAAGGTTTCAAAAGAGACTTAAAATGGACATATCACTCATAGGGTTTCAAACACCATAATTTTTTTTAAAAAGCTTCAGACTCAGAATTCAGTGTACAGACTAAAGAACAGAATGCATTAGATGAGGGGACAGCAAACTTTTTCTTAAGCGCCAGGTATTTTTGGCTTTGGTGTCTGTACAAGTAGTTCTTTGTAAACATTAGAGGAAATACACAAGAATTCAATGTAAGATTGAAGAACATGGTCAAATTTGAATGAGTTAGATTAGGGGTTAGCAAACTTTTTCTTAAAGGTCAGATACTTTTTGGCTTTGGTGCAACTACTGAGCTCTGCCCTAGTCCTAGTACAATCCATAGATAACATGTAAATGAATGACTGTGGCTATTCCCCAATGAAACTTTATTTACCAGAAGAGGTGGCCACTGAATTTGGCCCACAGGCTCTAGTTTGCCAACCCCTAAACCAGATTATCTGACATTTGTAAATTAGGATCTCTGAATTCTTTTGAACTGAATTCTTTGGAACAGGTGCCTAGGATTTTCAAGGACTGCTTCCTCACCTGCTTGGAGAGGGTAAAGGATTATAGGCATTGCCATAGCAGCTGGTGTAAGGAGAATGTGCTGGAGTCTCGTAATCCGACAGCCCTATGGTTAACTGGGTCCTCCAGTTCCCAGAAGCATTTGTAGAGGACACTGAAAATAAAAATGGAAAAAGAGACAAAATTAATAAAAATATAAAAAGTGAAAATTGTTGAGGTCATTCAGATGTACATTGCAATCAGTTTTGTCAGGGCAGAGATTAAGAGAGTTTGGAACCAACAGAGTCCCTATTCCAATTTAGTGACTTGCTGGCTATGTCACCTTAAGCAAGTAGTTTATCCCCTTTAAGTTTCAGTTTTCTCATCCATGCAGTAGGGATAATAATATTAACATATTCTTTATAGGTATGATCCCAGGATTAAATAAGGTAATTTTGAAAATCTTTAGCACTGTACTTGATACAGAGTAAGCACTCAATAAAAGATGACTATTAATATTATTATTGAGAATAAGATTAATTGAAAGATAAATTTGCCCCTCGTTGGGGCCAGGGGTAGTGGCTCACGCCTGTAATCCCAACATTTTGGGAGGCTGAGGCAGGAGGATCACTTAAGGCTAAGAGTTTGAGACCAGCCTGGCCAACATGGTGAAACCCTGTTTCTACCAAAAAATATAAAAATTAGCCAGGCGTGGTAGTGCCTGCCTCTAATCCCAGCTGCTTGGGAGGCTGAGACAGGAGAATTGTTTGAGCCCACAAGGTAGAAGTTGCAGTCAGCCAAGATCACGCCACTGCACTCCAGCCCTGGTGACAGAGTGAGTCTGTAACAAAGTAAGTAAGTAAATAAAAATAATAAAAATAATTTTAGGTCAGGCTTAGTGGCACAAGCCTGTAATCCCAGCACTTTGGGAGGCCAAGGCTGGAGGATCACTTTAGCCCAGGAGTTCAAGGCTAGCCTGGGCAACTGGGGAAACCCCATCTCCACAAAAAATACAAAAATTAGCCTAGTGTAGTGGTGTACACCTATAGTCCCAATTAATTGGGAGGCTGAGGCCGGAGGACCACTGGAGCGTGGGAAGTCAAGGGTGCAGTGAGCTGTGTTTGCACCGCTGCACTCCAGCCTGGACCACCAATCAAGACCCTATCCCAAAAAAGAAAATAAGAATAATACATAAATAACTTAAAAAATAACCAAAAAGACAAGCAAGAAAACAATTCTCATATATTGTGAGAAATCTTCCCATTCAGGCTATGGTGTTGTAAAGGTAAGATGATGAGTTTGGGTTTGTCAGAGGGCTTGGAGGAAATGTGTTTCTTAAGTAGACTTGTTGAGACGTAACTATTCCTCAGAATAGTTAAAGACAACACTGGCCACTGGATCGAGGCTATTTTTTGTCTTTAAAAAAAGTATATGTGTGTGTGTGTGTTGGGGGAGCTGGGGCAAGGTGGTAACTAGTTCAGGAAGGAATTCAGGAAGAAGGGATTTAGTTCTACAGAGGAACTGAACTAGAACAAGACAAGGGGACAATTTGGGAGCAAAGCCCAACAAATGCCTCATCACTGGGCGTTTGTTGTTCTCTCTATGAAACCAGTTCTGCTCCATGCCTTGGATGCACAAGGTAACCACAACATCATGCCGTTTGTCCAAGACTCAAAAACCAGCACTGCTCTTTTCCATTTCCTGTTTCTGGCTCCAGACCTACTCCTCTCGTACCCACAAAGCGCCTGTGATCACAAGGGGGCAACACATTTCAAAACTCATCTGTGGCCCTGGATATCATGAGGGCTAACATTGACTAACAGATGTAACACTCTCAGTTTGAGCTTCTAAGACATTTCTGAACTGTAAATCAGAAGTTCTAAGCCTTGGTAGTTAAAATGTCAGTGCTGGGGGGCCGGGTGTGATGGCTCATGCTTGTAATCCCAGCACTTTGGGAGGCTCAGGTGGGAAGATCACTTGCAGCCACAGGTTGCAGCCTGGGAAACAGAGCCCAGTCTCCACAAAAAAAAAAAAAAAAAATTTAGCCAGGCGTGGTGGTGCACACTTGTAAGCCTAGCTACTTGGGAGGCTGAGACGGGAGGATTGCATTGAGCCAAGGAGTTTGAAACTGAGTGAGTTATAATGGCATCACTGACTCCAATGTGGGTGACAGACTGAGACTCTGTCTCTTTAAAAAATAAAAAAAAAAGGAGCTGAGCTAGGATAGGATCCCCATTCCACCACTTAGTAGCTTTGGAAATTGGGTTATTTAAACTCTGTAGCCAGAGCTACCTAAGCTGCAAAATTATCATAATAACAATAAGCATAACAATAGCAATCACTATATAGAACTGTTACATACATTAAATAGGAGAGTGCAGGTAATATGCTGAATTTGCATGGCATCTAGTAAGCTTCCCACAAATGGTAGTTGTCATTACTAAAACTGAGTCACCGAGACAGCCTTCAGGTGGCTGGAAGGGACTACAAAGCCAGGACTAATTTGGCAAATGACTGGAAATTGATCTCTCCATGAGAATGATGCCTGCTTGTTGTAATACATTTCCGTAGTTATAAAGTGGAGATAGAAATGAGGGGAATTCCAGAAGGGAATTCTAGGAGTACAGATTCCATCCCTGTAGTTCTTTAAAGAGCAATGCTTTTTGGTCTGTGAGGCCACACCTTGCTGATGTCAGCAAGGCTCACACCAAGTCTGAAACAGGAAGCATCACTTCCATTCTCACCTTTAGCCCAGATACTAAGCTAACAGACAGGAATGTTGAGGTTCCTAGTTACACCTGCTTCTCCCACGGGGCACCACCCCAGTCCTGTGCTGTAGTGACTGTCCACACGCGATATCAGCCCTCCTGGTTTGGTTTTTCCCTTTTAGTACTCTGCCCCACCCTGCCCAGGTTTGATCTGTGGAAGTTTCTCACATCTTGAACTTTAAGAGGAAAAAAACGTGTTTTCTAGGTCAGAGCCATAAATAAGAAATAATTACAGAAGCCATTTCATATGTTAGATGTGGTAATAGATGGGACAGCCCTAGTGGAAGTCCAAAGTCCTACACAAATAGGAGAGAACTTGAACCCAAACAGAAATCTCCATGGAAAAGCCTCTTGTCAACAAGTATATGAAACTTGTAAAGGTGTAGTTTTCACTGACTACTCATACAATGATTCAGGAATCCTTATACTATTTCTCAATAAGGTGTCATGCTGATAAGGGAGAAGATGAGACTCATGACCTCTGCTTTTCTGGCAGTTTGAGAACGCATTCATTTCTTAGAGTTTTGAAATTGCTTAATTTTAATACATTCCTCTGGCTGCTGACTCAGCTCGTCGTGGCCAGGAACTAGTTCAATACTGGGTCCTCCATAGCTTGAATGTGGCTGCTCTTTTGCTGAATAAATAAAACCATACACAGAGCCTCCCCTATCTTCTATTTCTCTACTTAAAGTACCTGGCACAGCTGGGAGTAGCAGGAAGTCCTCCACAAATGTCAGCAGAGTTAGGGGCCTAAGTCAACATCAAGGGTATAAAGGAAACATCTCTAATCGAAGTTATCTTTTAAAATCCCTTAGGTCAACCATAAAGTAGGTATATATGAATACTGAATTACAATATGCATGGCAGGCACTGTGGCTCTTGCCTGTAATCCAAAAACTCTGGGAGGCCAAGGCAGGAGGTTTGCTTGAGGCCAGGAGTTTAAGACCAGCCTAGGCAACAAAGCAAGACCCGATCTAAGCCTCCCTGTTTCTACCAAAAAAAAAAAAAAAAAAAAGATACGCAAATTACTTAGAACAGTGCTTAATCAATTACAGTTCCTATCAGGATTATTATGAGCCTTATGCAGGCACCTGAGCATTCAAAATGGTCCTTAGATGATCAAATCTTGGTGGTGAACAAGGATAGATGTATAATTCTAATGTTTTCCGCTTACATGAGGGTTTACTCTTATTCTTTTTTTTTTTTTT